AAGCTTGCCTGCTTGTCTGCTATCCCAGATTGACCAACCCCCCCCACCCCCCTCCCCCCCCCCCCCCCGCCCTTCTTCTGGAGATAATTGGGTGTAGTATCCATTTGCAGAGAGTAAGGAAGATGACTTTGACAGAAATAGGCCAGATCCTATTTCAAAGCTTCAACTTTGTTCCTGTTAGAGTGGCTTTATTATTATTTAAATGCCCATCTTCCTAGTTTCAATCTATCACTCTAGGGACTAGAGTCAGTGTGATGTAGTGGTTAAGATGTTGGACTGCCACTGAGAAGATCAAAGCTCTAATCCATCTCAGCCATGGAAGCTCAGTTTGGGCCAGTTGCCCTGCCTTATCCCAATCTGCCTCACAGGGTTGTTGGGGGGGGGGGGGGGGAATGGAAGAAAGCATTACTGTATGTACACACTTTGACCTCAAGTTCAAAAGTTGAATATAAGTCAAATAAATTAATATATTTAATTTATAAAGAAGCAGGATAGGAAGAGTATTGACACTTTTGAACTTTGGTGTTGGAAAAAACTCCTGAGAATATTGCGGGCAGCCAAGAAAACAAATCAATGGGTTATCAAACAAATCAACCCAGAGTTCTCACTTGAGGCACAAATGACCAGGCTCAAATTATCCTACTTTGGAAACATCATGCAAAGGCCCAGCTCTCTGGAGAAGGCTCTACTGCTGGGAAAGGTGGAAGGAAAGAGAAGAAGAGGACAACCAGCAGTTACAGAGGCAATGAGTACACTGTTGGGAGACTTGAAAGAACAGGTTAGGGATAGATTGTCTTCGAGAAAATCTCTCTATGTAGTTGCTAGGAATTGAAATGACTTGATGGCACATAATCAAATTAATATATATCATGGCATTGATTTTTTTTCCGCCTATCTCCTGTGTAGATTTTGGCTTGAATCATTGCATATTTAATTTTTTTAATAAAAAAAATAGTTTCCCCAAGTAAAAGGGGTTCAGCATGTTAACAGAGGCACTGTAATTTTAAATTA